ATAACATACCTGATCCCGCCTGAAATAGCACAATACTGCCCGCCAATCATTGGCTTCTGCTTGAAGTCCACCTCTGCTACAAGTCCGTTGTTCATGTTCTCGACCTTGACAGTCCCACCCAATTCAACCATCATGGTACCTACGATATAAAACCATATATTCACGTGAAGCATTTGCTTGGAATAGTAATGAACAATACATGCCTATGGACTGATAGAGACATGATCTTCCCAGATAAAAGACCCCTGTCTGACTATTTTCAAGCACGTGCTCGCATGGGAATAGACAGTTGCAGTGCAGAAGTGAGCAACACCGCAGCACAAAGGTCGGTCGTATGGGCATTGTGTGCGTGTGTGGCTGTGTACAAGTGCAACAGGTAGCCCACCCCGCGGCCTACTATAGAGTTTAAAGTTTTGGGTTTTGGGTTTAGCTAAGATCATGAAAATGCCCCTCTGTACGTTGATATGGTAGCTCTGCCATCGTACCGAGGGCATATACACCCAGTAGCAGATGCTCCCCACACGTTTAAGAATTCTAGGGTTTTAGGGTTCCAAGGTTTTAGGGTTTCAGAGGTTTGTCCTGTTGCACCCAATACAATCTGCTACACGTGTGCTATAGTACGACCAGACGTACGGAAACATACACGACCACGTGCATACCCACATCCATCCCATACCGGGACATACCGGGACATACCGGGTCATACCGGGACATGTGTCCGTATCTTTTGCGTTCAGCCCAAATATATACGCCACGACGGGATGCACAAGCACAAGGGTCAGCATACATACACACAGGACACACAGACACGTGTGTATGCATATACGTACACTCAGAATGCACACACAAACACGTGTGTGTGCATATAAGTACACACAGAATGCCCACACAAACACGTGTGTGCGTATATTCACCCACCCACACCCACACAAGCCCGTGCGTCATACGTAGCATGCGTGTCTATGGCATACCGAAGAAGATGCCCTTGACAATGGCACTGGGCAGTGTGATGGTGTAGACCTCATCCAGCTCTTGCAGATGCAGCTTCATGGCACCCACCAATACCGAGGCAGCCTACACACGTGCACGTGCGCATGACAGAGAGAGGGGTATAGGACACGGATGTTACACCAAGATGTATGAGAAGTAGGGATACAATCAAACGACTAGAGAGATAGGGAACGACGGATTACTAGCTGTGTGAGGGGCAGGTAGTTTTTGGATTTATTCTGCCATTGCTATGGTTTTGAGCTGGTGAAATACAGACATTAGCTTGTTAACTACCCATTTGATGGGTACCCTGGTAAATCTCGCCCGATTATATATATATGTATA